TTTGAAGTTGTTTCTGACTGGCGCGTCCCTCCTTCAACAACTCCCACGCCAATTCCACATACTTCAAAACTTTTTGAGGCTTAGGTGTTACTTTACCTGTCATCCCGTCAACCAACGCACCCTGAATCTCAGCCGAGAGCGCCTGTTCCACCGACTTCTTCGGGTGCCGCGGCAAGCCCCACTGTTGATTGATAGCCATCCCGCATAGCCAACGCCTCAACGGACGGTTCCCCTTTGATCAAGGATGCTAATCTACAGTCCACTTTCTCCAGGGCATCAAAGTTGTCCAAATAGATTCTATGAAGCCAAGGGGATGAGCTTGCAGGCTTGTCCCGTCTCATTTCCGTTTGGGGTCCAACACCCGGGGTGATTCCATGTAGTGATAGTCTTGCAATTCGTCTGTGAATATGTTGTGCAATTGACACTGATGAAACGAATCCCATGGGTAAAACCAAAGAACAGAGATAATGAGGTTCAGTGCAATGACATGGCAAAAGGGAGGGGGGTACTTCCCTCCCAAACGCCAAACACTTGTGCCATTCCCGAGGTACTCCAAAAAGATAGAAGAAACATCTAATATCTTCAGAGATCAACACCAAGACCTCACTCTTGTCCAAAATAATGGTTCCCAACCCCGTCACCGCTGGCAACGTGCACACATCAGCACCCAGGCTTCTAACCAGCTTATTCAATGGAACCAGATTCATAATCAGCCTGAAGACTTCAAACCCCCTCAACAAACTCTTGCTTGGACACCCCAAATAAACCATTAAGAACTGGTCCTTGGTCCAAATGATAAACCTCCGACTTTGGAATGATTCTGGAACCCCCTTTTCTTAGGAGACCGGAGCACACCTGCTCCCATGCATCTTCATCCACAAACACCTTTGGGGATTTCGTATAAACTTGAGATTCAACCGGCAACAGATACTTCCCATAGTTTACAACATAGTCCAAAGTACCACCTTCACAAACATCAACAAGAGGGATAGATCCAATTCCGTCAGGAAGGGCAGGCTCAATGTTCTCCCAACAAAACCGCCTGGCAACCTGCACTTCTTCCCCACGATAATCCACTGTTTTTACTTTCCCAAAATCCTCCCAAGTCACTCCCTCAAACTTTTCCTTGGCCAACCCAACATCCCGGATGGTCGATGCTAGGGACTTCAGGGCTGTCGTTGCTGCTGCTGAAACCACCAGCCCCTCAGCCGCCATGCTCCCACTGTACGAGTTGAGAGCCTTGCAGACGCATCTGAGCATTGCCAGGTGCTCCACCTCGACTTGGCCAAGTACCTCTCTAAGTGCCCGGGGGCATTCAGGTAACGGGAAAATCCCACCTGAGAACTTGATCCTGCTGCGTGGAACCTTGGTAGAAATTTCTAAATTCTCAAACATGCAAAAGAGGGTCTTGGCCATGTCACCGAAGGTTTTTCCTTCAGCTCGAAAAAAGCTAGACGCCTCCTCCGGTCCGGTCGTCCCGCCAGAGGCATCTCCAAAAGATGGGTCCGGCCAAGGCGCGGGAAAACAAGCTGGCCTGGAACTATAGCCCGCACTTTTGCCAGCTGTACTGACATCCTCATAGATCTCGGAGCCATCCAGCTCCCTGCGCTGCTTCTGCATCATCTCCTCTCTTTCTCCTTCTCGTCCTTCGCTTGCCCTGCTTTGTCGCCCTTTGCTTTTCCTTTGCCTCGGAAATCTTTTCCTTTGCCCTTTCCTTTCGGCTCTTCTTGGCGCCTTTCCCAATCCTGGCTCCTCTGCCAAGGGCAGGCCGCTGCTGACTTCGCCTTCGCCTCGGTGCAACCGGGAGGCCCCCAATGACTCCATAGGAGAAGTCATTGCTGTGTTCTCCACGGGCACTAGCTCCTGTCGCTGTGCCACCAAGTAGTGGGAGCCAGTTGTCACCTGCTCTAACCCCTTCAGCCTTTGGGTTATTGTATCGCAGGCCGACGCCACTTTCCCTTGGATCAGCTGATCCTGAACGTAGCACAGCGTCTGGGCCTCCCGGTTGATGGCACCTGTCATTCTTGTACTGAGCATCATCCTCCAGTACGTACTGTGAGAATATTGGGGGGAAGTGAAGTCCGGTCCAAATCCCACGGCTGGCCGCTTTGGGTCACGACAGCGGCTTGCATCTGCTCCAGGGTGTTCAAGGTAAGAGGACTCGGGAACCTCTTGCCAACCATCTTCACCTTGACTTCTTCGCCAAACAGATGGCCCGACTCGTCCAAGGTCTCTTCTGTCCCTGAACTGCTCGGCTGGCTCGTGCTGGAGCTGCTTCCTCCTCTGCGGCCCTTCTTTCTCGCCGCCCTCTTTGCCCTTTTCTTCACCTGCCGTCGCACCGTCGGCTTCGGATCCAAAGCCGTCGTTCCAAGGACTGCAGTGAGGTCTTTTGTGCCCACAATCTTCATCTTTTTTCCATCCTCCTTCTTCTTCTGTTTCCTCTTTCTTCTTTCTCTTGCCTCCTGTCGAGCTCTCTGAACTCTTGTCCTCGGCACCTGCCATCGGAGCTCTCTGCTCCCCTCCTACTGCCTCCTGCCTCTCTAGGGCCTATAGGGCCCTGGCCTTCACACGCCGAAGTTCGTCCTCCTCTTCTCGCCTGGGTCGACCTGCCTCTGTCAGGTTGTCCATCCAGGGCTCTCTTTCTTCGGCTTTCCACCTCTTCACCCTGAGTGCATGAATGAGCCCGTCTTTGGACATCTTGACGCAGTCCGGCTTGCAGAGGTGCATTTCGGCCAAGGTCGCAGGATGCCCTCCTGACCATCGGACTAGTGCCTCTGACTGAGTCCCTTCCAACTTGAAGTTGAGGTAGATCTCGTCCTCCAGGACCAGGACCCTCAGCTCCTTCACCGCACCTGCTGCCTTGACTTTTTCTTCCCAATAGACACCTTCTGTAATCACTATCCTCTCTCCTACTTTCCATGCGGTGAGCTTCACTTGATGAGCCTCAACTTCTCTTCCCTCTCTGAACGCCTCGGAGAGATCTTCCTCTCCCAGCTCTCCTTCTATGGCACTGGCCGGTCTTTTCAAGGCCTCCTCGCCTAGGAGCCACCACTCCTCTTGCCTGCCTTTGCTTTAACAACTGGCCTTGCTCGGCCCACCCCTCTGGCGGCCGGTCTGATCCTCGCTTTTGGGGGGCATCAACGCCGGAAGTGGCGCTTATTCCTTTTCCTCCACGCCTTGAACTCCGCAAAGATTTGCTGTTGCTTCCTTTTCTTTACTCCTTTGTTTTCAGGTTTTGGCCTTCCGGGCATCAACGCCGGAAGTGGCGCTTATTCCTTTTCCTCCACGCCTTGAACTCCGCAAAGATTTGCTGTTGCTTCCTTTTCTTTACTCCTTTGTTTTCAGGTTTTGGCCTTCCGTCCTGATAATCACTCTGATCTCGACGATGATAGGCTGGAAATGGTCCCATGCCACCGACGATAATCGTCCGCCCGAGGCGGTGGGGGCTCTGGCGGGCTCTTGGGCCTCAGTGTGGTGAGGCTCTCCTTCTGCTTCCTTCGGCGCGACCTTCTCGATGCCTTCCCCCCAGACCGATCCCTCCTGGGTAACGGAAACCTTCTGTCCTTTGCCACCGTCCTCCTTCTACTTCTACTTCTTTCTCTCCTTCTAGCTTCTCCTGAACTACGGGCTCTCTTTCTCTCTGTTTTCTGCAACTCTTGGATGGGCTTTCTTCTCTTTCCTCTCAGGGCTTTTTTCTTCTACTCTCACCTCAGCAATGGGCTGCTTCTCCTCAGCGTCCTCCTCTCTTTTTACCTTCGGTGGGTTTGCGTCCTCAACCACAACCTCGCCTCTCGTAGGTGGCCTGGCCTTGGGAGTAGTTTGAAGGTTGTCTGCTGACACCGGCCTTTTCCTCCCTCGGAGACCCTTTGTCTCCCGGCTTGAACCTGCTATAGCTGTCGCAGATCTCAAGGGATTTGTGGTACACCCCACGGAGGTCAGCCACCACAAATTGGCTCCCAGTCGGCGGGAAGCGGTCAGACAGGATCACGTCCTGGAACCTGAACACCAGGTTACGCAAGTCTGCCACCAAAGGTCCGAACTTGCCTCGACAAGTCAGACACCGGAGACTCTCGTCTCCCATGAAAATCTCTGAGCTTAAGCCGAGACTGCGGGGAAAGGTATCATGCTTCATCTTTAAACCCGGGGCCGTGGGATCATATATATTGTAGTAGAATAGTGTATCAAAATAGGCTCAGAACTCAGAAAGCTAAAAATTGGCTGCCCGCCATGTGCCTGTCCCTTGCGCTGGGCGGCTAGCTCGCTCAATGCCTTTGTGGCTAAGCGTGGCTGCATCCAAACATCCCAGGTGGCGTTCACTGCCTGCGCTTCAATGGAGCACAGTGGAGGCATCTTCCTAGCTGCTAGCTGTTTGATTCTTGGAGCGCACTGGCCCCGAAATGCACCAACAATGCAAGGATGAAGTGTCCCAATGCTGTAAGGCTGTAAGGGTCTGGTTTCCAGAAAGGATCCTGAAACCATGCAATCAATAATTAAATCACTTCAAATCGATATATACTTGTACCCGAATGCATCAATTCGGCCTCTTCCACTTTTGCTGGAGTTGCAATCTCAAGCTCGAGCACTGCGCCATAATGCTGGCTAGCAATCTGCCCTGTGGGCAAAAATTGAAATAACTGAGTGCACATGCATGTCGACAATCTGTGCTGACGATGGAAAGCTGTTGGCATCCAGACCGTTGAAGCCGTGAAACTAATCTTCCGGTCCTCGCCTCTGGGTGATGCCTGGATCTCCGATATGCAACGACCTTGGCCAAAGTGGCCCAGCTGAACCGGAATCCAAACAGTGGAATGCAAACAGCTGCTTTACGATGCTTTACGGAGTCCCCAAGTCTTGTGAAGTAATTACCAACTTTGTCGGAATTCCATCTAATTCCCAGGTTTCAAATCCATGAGCACATCCCACACATCTGCACCCCGCTTCTACCACCTCTTTCAGTCAAGCTTGCGAAGAATCTGCGAGTCGAAAGCCACTAGCTACTTAAGTCGCTGCTACCAAAAGCGAGCTTGTTGCTTCTAAGTACCTCTTGACCGCGCCAAACAGGCGTGCTCCCTGCTTTTGATTGTTAGCTTCGACGATTTCCTCACGAGCTTCAACAATTTGCTTTGGTCCATCCTCCAACTTTTCGTGCTGCTGTCGATTCAATCCTGGTGGAGGTGATTTGGCCAAAGCCTCAGCAGCCGTCCTAAGGGCTGATGCAGAGCAGGGACCCTCTGCGGATGCAAAGCTGCCCATTTTTGGAGGGCCCCTTTCATTGACTTCTGATACCTGAGCGGGGGTATCGCAAAAACGTTGGAGGCACTGGAAGACAAACCTCCCAGGATTTGCTTCACCATTCCCTCAGTTTGGCCGCACTGGTGCCCTCTGCTCTTACATCTGTCGGCACCGACATGGCCCCACTGGCTCCCAAGAGCAATGCTCGGCGCTGTGACGACCCAGCTGGTGCAACCAGAAAGGTCAGGCCAGGCCTTCTCATCACGGATGCGACGAGAAAGCTGCACAGGAGCCACGCCAGGCTCCGGCCACGATTCTTCATGGCTAAACAGGTGGGATTCGTTGCAGGTACCCGAAGATTTGACGTAAAAAACTACAGCGATCTACAGCGTTGCAAGTTGAAAGCAAAGATAAGGACAAAGGAAAACCAAGTCTCAAAAATGGCAATGCGGCTATTCGAATGGAATTACAAGCCTACATCACACGTATCTAATCATATCGAATCATATCAAATATCCTGCCTGAAGGTGAGTTGGGCTGAGGCATCGACTTGCTTTGAGCCCGGTCATCTTGGCAGTCAAACATTGCAGAGGCTGCATTTTTTGGAAGGTCAGAGCCAAAGCGGAACCGCCAATCAGGCACAAGTCCCATTTTGATTTGGGGCCATGAGAAAGCCCAGTGCATGGGCTTGATCTGGAATGTCTTCATATGTCTTCGTGTTCCAGCCGCGGCCATTTACAATATTTGCAGATGATGCTTTGGTGTGCTTTAGTATATGCTTCAGTCCGAAAAAGGAGGCAACCGGCAACCGTTTCATGCGCATGTCATGTTTTCGGTGAGTTGCTGTTGCGCCTTTTGAACTCGGCTGCAAATGCCTGTCGGTACTTCTGTGAGACACTTCGCCAAGTTGGCAAATGACACCTGTGGCCAAGTCATGCACCTTTGCTCACAAGCTACTGTTCTACAATGTTCTACAATGTTCTACAATGTTCTACTCTCTCTCTCTCTCTCTCTGTCTCTCTCTCTCTCTCTCTCTCTGTCTCTCCCTCTCTATGTCTCCATGCTGTTCTTATACCTTCAGTGCAATTTTCCAGCAGCGATATGTGTCTGTCTGTCTGTGTCTAGCCTAGCCTGTGTACAGGTATGTTTGCGCCAGCGACAAACAATGCATGATCGCTTTAAGTGAGGGTCTTCTTGTTTTAGGGCAACTCTTCCACAGCACTAGGGTGTGCAAATTAACAAAGATATCTGGGTCTCAATATGGGGTGATCATGTCAAACCTGCATGTTTCTGACCATGCTTGTTGATTTACTTCCGGCCTCTGCACACTGCAAGTTGAAAGGACACTAATCTATATCTATAATTATCTATACAGTACTATACTACTGCTCGTGCACCTGTGTGTGTGTCTGTGAATGTGGGTGTGTTTGTGTGTCGGTCATCTTCTCCAAGATCCTTCCTCAAATCAATGTGCAGCTCAGAGTGCTTGGTCGTAGCCTTTCTCTGTCTACATTTTTCTACACATCACTTTATGAGCAAAAGCGCTTTCAAAGATGACTCCACCGCATGGGTGTCACAGCCTGTCAACCGGTTAGCCTACAAGGCGTGAGATGCCTGGACAGCCGGATTGCAGAGTGGACACTCCGTCTCTACATCCTGACATGTTGGCAGCCTTCATCCTGAAAAGCCACAAAGGCTTTGCAATGCTTGCTTACAACATCTAATAACTACGTGCATTTGCAATTTAGGCATCTTACCACGTCTCACCTTCACTTGGTCCAATTTGGGAAAGGGCTCCCGAGTTCAATTCTGCCGGGCATTCTGCTCAGACTTTGACTGCCCCTGTGGGCTACACATGCATCTGCCAAAGATTGCACACGGCGCTTGAAGAAAGCACAATCGGTGCACGCGGAATGGCATTATTTCGAAATTTCATTTGACTTCAGCTAAGACAGCTAAGACTTTAGCGGCACTTTTACCTCAGCTGAATTTCCACATTGTTGGTTCGCGATCCGTGCGGTGCGGAGTGATTTTTAAAACTGTGGCAGTGAGAATTGGCATCCCTTCTCGGGTGCTTGCCGTCTTGCCGTCAAGCTCTTGACACAAAACTACATTCAAACCATTGCTCCCCTCATCCCAGAAGGTCAAGGCTGGCCATTTGATCTGCACACGAAGATTCTAATTACCCAATACCTTCCAATAATCCACTACCTACCAGGTATCACTACAACCGTCAAGTTTGGCCAGTGTGTTTGTGGAATTTGGGGGTTTAAAACGGTTTTGAATTTGGAAGGCTTGCATGGCAGAGCTGGCCTTTGGCCGAGTCTGCGTTGTTTCATTCTGTCCCTGCTGACGCTTCTATTCAGAATTTCAACACTCATGGTGCTAATCGTTTCGCCATCATTCGGTCGGCCACTGGCCCTGAGCTTGACTTTTTTGCTGCGAGGACCCTAAGCACAACATTCAAAGCCGTGCGGCAACAGACATGCCCATCCCGCAATAATGTGCTAGATGCAGTTGCTTGTGGCCAAAGTTGTTTCGTCCCAACATTCTTCGGACCAGCTAGAGCCACTGCATGTGTTTTGCACTACCGCCACTGCCTCAGCTTAGAACCATTGCAAACAAGGTGCCCTCCGCTACTCAATATTGTCTTGCGACTTGGTACTAGCTCCGGAGGAGTTTTGCTGTCCTGAAGCGGATGAGATGCCTGGCAGCAAATTGCAGCATGGCCTTTGTGTGAGAGAGAAAGGGGCAGGGAGGGAAGAAGAAAGAACCACACGGTTCAACCAGCCAAAATGGAATCTCATCGCCCTGTAACATCCTGTAACCCAGGATGATGTGGAAGGAAGGAAAAGAAAATAAAAAAGAAATAACAAATTTTTGGGTGCAGGTCTCAAAGGACCATATCTAGGTGACAGGGATGCTACAAAAAACATAACTTCACCACTTCATGGTGAAGCTAGGGCACAATAAGATGAAACATGGCATACGCTTGGGATAATACAATAACATACAACAACAAAACAACCACCTTGTACCATTGCACGACTGCTAGGCAATATGGCATTTTGAATTGATAATCTGATAATTGCAAGTATCATCAGATACTAATAATTGCCTGTGATTGCATGTTTTTTGATCATACCGCAACAAAGACATTGAAATATTATAGATCATCGTAATGAATGCGTAGCGGTTGTTCCTCTATTGATACGTTGCTGCACTGGCAGGCCTCGCTGGATCTATCGTACCAAATGGCACGAGCGCGATTCCGTCTCGAACTGACTTGCACGTCTTGTACCGTATTATGAATGTGGCTTAATATGCTTAAGTTTAATGTCTGATGTGATTTTCCGGAAGATTCCGTCAGAAAAGGATCAGAAGGGCGCCTGTAGAACCTTTGCCATCCTTTTTGTCGGTGACGCTCTTCATGGCTTTCACAACAAGCTTCTCCTCAGCAAAATGATGCAAAATGTCTTGCCTGCGGTCTCTCCCTTGCCTCTATGTGAAAAAGGCAAAACAATGACAAGGTCCCACATGTCCAAGGTTTGCAAAATGGTCTGTGGATTGGTGCACCGGATGTTGATGCCGACAAGTGTCTAACTTTTCCAAACGATCACTGCCCTGATCTTCAGCCAACGGATCCTTCCACAACTTTTGATAGCTTTGACAGTGACAACATTGTGGATTCAGATGGGTCCAACCAGGAGGTCGACCAATGATTTTACATTCGGGGTCCACACAGGCTTGAGAGACTTGGATCTGGAACAGCTGTGACTTGCAAGCCCTTGCGGCCACAAGCTACCGCAAGGTAAGTAATATTTGCCAGGGTGTTCTCTCTCTAACTCTCTCTCTCTCTCTCTCTCTTTCTCTTTCTCTTTCTTTCTATCGCATGAATGTGATGACCGTTGCACAAATCCCAAAGCTTCTGAAGTTCCTGTGGCCAAGGCATATTGGGAGCTGTTGAGCCACCAAAACGCCTCACTGAGTCCACCTCAAGGCCGCGCAAGAGCAGAACTTCATTCAGGCAACGAATCTTGAAGAATATTGAAAGAACAAGTGCGAATCCACCATGTACGGGCCACGTACGAAGACGTAGCCTTGCATGCTCGCAGTGCGAAGCTGTTGAGCCCAAGACGGTTGTGGGATTTTCATTGGAAGGCTCATACACTTGGATTCCACCTGGCTCGGGGGAGGCCCGTGCAGCTTGTCAAGACACGTTTGGGGGGTTCGTGCGTCGACTGGTTCACGGAACCCTCAGTTCCCGATCTATCTGCCCCATCGGAAACTCATAGCCTGTGCAAGCATACCTCGGATTTGTATCATGGCATGCGACTATCGATGCATGTGCACACATCTGTGCGTACATACGCGTTTGTGATTTGTGGGTACCTTGGGTGACAGATCGTCAAAAATCCCTGACGTGAGACTTTGAATCTTGTGTCATGACTGTCCAAATCACGCAGTTATTGGAACGCAGCCCTCGCGCAACCCCAAAGGAGAACTGTTAAACTCACCCTGCTCTTCAAGTGCCCATCGTGGAGACGCGGCACGGGGCAAACGTGTGGAAGGATTGTTCAAGGGATGGATGCCGGCATCTGCAGATATGCCACTACCATTTTGATAATCTCACATTGAACTTGGCAGCACTTTTAGCTATCTCGGGCAAAAGTGCACCTACGGTATGTAGGGTGTTGAAACATGACCATGCCAATGACCAGAAATTTCCAATCTGCTCCAGGGTTGGAGATGGCTTGAAAGGTCCTTGCTTTGTACACACATCCTATTGGACCAGGTGAAGTCCTTCATAGAATCCCCCATGTATAGCCCGCTAGATGCTTTGCGGCCGACTTTATAGAGAATAGCCTGGTATAAACTGGAATGGCCACATGTCTGGAGTCTATAAAGTGGAAAGCCAACATGTTTTGTCTATAAAGTCAAAATCCAACGTTTGTATAAAGTCGCCTGGCCGCGTAAAAACATAAAACTCGATGCAGGTTTTTGAGGGTGCTTGTGAACATGTCCCATGACTATAAAGTGAGATGCTGAACATCCAGATAGTAATACTTGTGCAGAACAGTGGCACTATAATGTGGATTTCCGGCTAAACAACGATCGTTGTAGTAGCGATGATTTTCTTAATCGCGACGATGGCAGCATCGACATGATTGTCTATAAAGTTGAGGGGCCACGTTCAAACCTTGGGGGAATATCATCGATCTCATCGATGGGGAACCCAAAAGACTTCGAATGACTTCGAAACCGAACGAAACCGACAGCCAGACAAATATCTATATCGAACTCGTTAACAGAATCTATGGTAAAACCAAATCTATGTTGGACTGGCCACTTTATACCCTCCCCCAACAGAGAATGCCTCTAACACACTTTCCTTTGAAAGGGGTCCTTGGGGTGAAAGGGGTCCTGGTCGCGCCGCGCGCGCGGGCGCGCGCGCGCGCCAAAATGGCTCCAATTTTGACACCTTTTTGGCGCGCGCGCGCGCGGCGCGCCCAGGACCCCATTCACCCTGAGGAATTTTTCAAGGGAAATCTTCTTCTCTATAAAGTGGCCAGTCCAGGTAAAACCCCTGAAAAAACAGAATCTATGTTGGACTGGCCACTTTATACCCCCTCCCCCAACAGAGAATGCCTCTATAAAGTGGCCAGTCCAGGTAAAACCCCTGAAAAAACAGAATCTATGTTGGACTGGCCACTTTATACCCCCTCCCCCAACAGAGAATGCCTCTATAAAGTGGCCAGTCCAGGTAAAACCACTGAAAAAACACATTTTTTGGAATGGCCACTTTATACCCCCTCCCCCAACAGAGAATGCCTCTATAAAGTGGCCAGTCCAGGTAAAACCCCTGAAAAAACAGAATCTATGTTGGACTGGCCACTTTATACCCCCTCCCCCAACAGAGAATGCCTCTATAAAGTGGCCAGTCCAGGTAAAACCCCTGAAAAAACAGAATCTATGTTGGACTGGCCACTTTATACCCCCTCCCCCAACAGAGAATGCCTCTATAAAGTGGCCAGTCCAAGTAAAACCCCTGAAAAAACAGAATTTTTGGAATGGCCACTTTATACCCCCTCCCCCAACAGAGAATGCCTCTATAAAGTGGCCAGTCCAGGTAAAACCCCTGAAAAAACACATTTTTACCTGGAATGGCCACTTTATACCCCAGCCAGTGGGCTCCAGGACTTTGACCCGGAAACGGAAGGGCTGACAACAAGGTAAAGGGGGAAAACTACAACGGAGAGGTACAACGGGAAGGCTACCACAAGAAAATGAGACATGTCACGTTTATATACGTTTATTGTTTTCAATGTGTCATATAGATTGGCGATGATTGGTATATTGAATATGTTGTAGATGTATTTTGGAACATATGTATACCTATGATTCACACATCAATATAAATATATATATATATATCATAAACACATGCCAAACCAAAAACTTTTAGCTGAGTATTGTATTCCCAATCTGTTGGCAAATGTCCAGCCGATTCACCATGCGTGACCCAACAAGATTCAAACTATGGATTGTTTAATTTCGAAAAAAAAATTACTGGTTCTTGCAAACAATTTTATAGAGGATGGGCATGGACCGGCCAGTTTATACAGAGGGTGGGGCTGCCAGAAATGACGTGATCAAACCACTTTATAGAGCTGAACTTTCTTGCAAACCATTTTATAGAGGATGGGCATGTGGCCGTGGTTTTGGTCCATAGATGTCCATAGATTTTTAGGATGATTTTGGGAGATTGTCGTCATAGATATACGTAGATTCACCCAGTATTTTTTTTTCAAAAGTAAACAATCCATAGTTTGAATCTTGTTGGGTCACGCATGGTGAATCGGCTGGACATTTGCCAACAGATTGGGAATACAATACTCAGCTAAAAGTTTTTGGTTTGGCATGTGTTTATGATTTATATATATTTATATTGATGTGTGAATCATAGGTATACATATGTTCCAAAATACATCTACAACATATTCAATATACCAATCATCGCCAATCTATATGACACATTGAAAACAATAAACGTATATAAACGTGACATGTCTCATTTTCTTGTGGTAGCCTTCCCGTTGTACCTCTCCGTTGTAGTTTTCCCCCTTTACCTTGTTGTCAGCCCTTCCGTTTCCGGGTCAAAGTCCTGGAGCCCACTGGCTGGGGTATAAAGTGGCCATTCCAGGTAAAAATGTGTTTTTTCAGGGGTTTTACCTGGACTGGCCACTTTATAGAGGCATTCTCTGTTGGGGAGGGGGTATAAAGTGGCCAGTCCAACATAGATTCTGTTTTTTCAGGGGTTTTACCTGGACTGGCCACTTTATAGAGGCATTCTCTGTTGGGGGAGGGGGTATAAAGTGGCCATTCCAGGTAAAAATGTGTTTTTTCAGGGGTTTTACCTGGACTGGCCACTTTATAGAGGCATTCTCTGTTGGGGGAGGGGGTATAAAGTGGCCAGTCCAACATAGATTCTGTTTTTTCAGGGGTTTTACCTGGACTGGCCACTTTATAGAGGCATTCTCTGTTGGGGGAGGGGGTATAAAGTGGCCAGTCCAACATAGATTCTGTTTTTTCAGGGGTTTTACCTGGACTGGCCACTTTATAGAGGCATTCTCTGTTTGGGGATATAAAGTGGCCAGTCCAACATAGATTCTGTTTTTTCAGGGGGTTTTACCTGGACTGGCCACTTTATAGAGAAGAAGATTTCCCTTGAAAGGGGTCCTCAGGGTGAATGGGGTCCTGGGCAGCTCTATAAAGTGATTTGGGTGATGTATCTCATGACTCTATAAAATGCTCTGCCGCAATTTTCTTTCTATAAAGTGCCCTGGATGCAGCACAAATTCTTCTTCTTAAAGGGCAAGTTTCACTCTATAAAGTGCTTTGCCATGTATACAGCCCCAACAGAAAGATATTGGCCCGAAATCATTGGGGAGGCATGTTTCTATAAAGTGGATGGTGTGACATATTATGGCCATTCTTTGAAGGGAACCAACGGTCTATAAAATGCATTGCCGCATATATTGAGTCGTTTCCTTGTGGGGAACCAGCCGGGTATAAACTGGAAAGCCAACGTTGCTATAAAGTCATCTTCCAGGTCCAAGGGCATGTTTCTCGCGCAAAACACGGCTTTATCCCCCATTGTCGGTATATAAAGTGGCGACCGGAAACCCACTTTATAAGCGCAAAGGATGTCCACTTTATAGTGAGCTATACATGGGGGATTTCATAGATGGTGTGCAAGTGGCACACTCGGTCGGCCGTAGACATTCTCCAGTCGGCTCTGTAGATCAGGCGCCTGTTTCTGCACTGAATGAGCCCGGTCTGACTCAAGAATGTCAATTCCGTATCCCCATGTTCAAGATGCCGCTCCTGTATGAAGAATCGCGGAATGCCATCGGGAGATGTCGCCGTCCCGAAAAGTTCGGCACCAGCGTAAGCGCCAGGAGGATCCAGTGAAGGTGCTTGGTGTGTGTAGAGCTCGATGATCTGATCTCGGGAAGAGTCGCAGCACGCCTGTGGCGCAGTGTCAAGGCATGCAAGTGCATCTCAAGGTTGTTGGACTCGATCGTCATGATGTGCAGCAAGTTGCGTAGACGAGCTTCACGACGCTCATGCGCAGTGAGATCATGATGAACTTCGTCCAAGTCTGCTCCATTGATCAGATGTCCATCTTGAGCCGCATCTTCGCTCTCCACATTCTCACTGTCTTCACCTTCTCCACTCCAGTTGGGTCCGTGTGGACTGTTATCTCGGGACCTCGAAGCTGCCAGATCGAATGCTCGCTCCACTTCGGGTTGATGGACCGAACCCCCTTCGTCAGCCTCAGCATCAGGCTCTGGTTGAGGAGGTCGTGGATCGGCGATCCTCGGTCTGGAGCTCGAGCGTTCTTCAGGATGAGGATTGGCTCTTCTTCTCAGGTTCTGTAGATGGTGTCAATGTCCCGGATGCTCTCGTTCATCTGACTCGCTCCGATGTTGTTCTCTGCCTGCAACATCCTTTCCACAAGGTTCGCTGTCACCATCGGCTGAACCATCGGGTTGTTGTAGGTCCCCACCATGCGCTGCATTCGTCGCAGACATTTCCATAGGTGCAAAATCGCCAGGCACAAAAGCATGCAAAGAGCGGATATGATGCAAATCACCGAAGTCTGTACGTTGAATTTGGTCTCCTTCTTGGAGTCTTGTGTTTCACACTGATCTTCGTCAACCTGTCCTTGTGTCATCTGCCATGCGCACAGCGTGGCCACCAACCAAAAGCTTGAACGTGATGTCCAGGATGTAGCAGCAGCACATGGTCGTAGTCCAAGTCCCTGACGTAGCAAAGCTCTGCACGGCTTTGATGTCAGCGGTGGTCATCATTGTGTTGATCCACTTCTTGTCTCCAGCTTCCAAGTCATCCTCGTTGAAGTCTGTCGTCGGGGGCATGGCTTCCAGTGGGTGTCCATCTTCATCTCGAAACACCACTTGACCAGTTGAGAGCAGATGTAGAAGCTGTCTGCTCAGCATCGGCTTCGTCAGCGCATCTGCCACCATTGATTGCGTTGGCACAAGAATCACCCCGTAGGCGTCCACAAAGCCGGGCTTCACGGTGAGCTAAAATGTAGACTCGTTGAGAACGGTCTTGAGGTAGAGCACTGCCACCAGTCGTGAGTGCGTAGAAGTCCTTGCAATCAGTCATCGCATCAACTGGAAGAAAAGGTGCTTCAGCTTCTTGTAGCGCAGCCAGCGGCAGCAAAGTTGGCTTCTCCGTTGGAACCAAAAGTTCGGCCAAACGTAGAGCCACCAGTGAAGCTGTCTCCAAACCAGAAATGGCAGCAATCTCAGAGTTAGAAGTTGAGTAGCTGGTTCGTTTTGCCTTGGCACCGTGGGAAAACAAGATGTGGGCGTCTCCTGCAAAATGTTCTTCACTCACTTCAAGTCCAGTGATGGAGTGAACCTGGCTGTTGAAGTTGAGGTTGTCCTGCATGAGGAGGATCATGACTCTCTCTTGAGAGTATAGGCTTTGCCTTTCGACGCTGAACTTGCGTCATGCACTGCAACCAATCTCCACGGAGATGTTGTCGGAAAGTGTTTGTAGACTATATGCCCACACCACGATATTGTGCCATCTTGGCCTTCTTCACAATGGCATTGGCCAGGTGCAAGTCTTGCACTGTCGCCTTTGTCACGCGTGACTGTAGAACTCCAACGTCAGCCACCAAATCCAGCCTTGTCGCTGTGATCCAAAGAAGTCCACCTAGGATACTGCGCCGCAAGGTTGATGTTTCAGCCGGTGCCAAAGGTCTGCTTTGATCATCACCAAGGTCTTTGAAGTCCATGACCTTCATCCTATCGATGAACTCCTGCTGGTCGATAGAGAAGCTAGACGCAACTTTGTTGTACCGGCTTCCACAGTGGTTGAAAGGAGGCTGTTGCACGGAGATCTTGCCAAATCGGCCACTAAGAAAAGCATACTCCTTCTCAAGGAACTCAGCGCCACCACAGACGGCAATGTCGTCGACGTGGGTTGTCATTACAGCTTGGAGTTTGCCTCCAGCTTTCCAAAGCCAAAGGTTCTCAGTGGTGCATCATTGAGGCCATGTGCGGGCTTGTCGCGCTCCAAGCCCCAAAGTCCTTGTTGACCTTCTCCAATGCCAAAGCTGGCATCCATTTCAGAGAGGTGTCGCCAAACGTTGGCAGGAGGTATGATCACCACTTCTCTTTGGCGAGGAAATGCTGTAGCCGGGCATTAGCAGGAGCAAGGCTCCTATTGCCCCGGGAACTGTGTCGCTTACTCTGCAGCGAACCCACCAAGAGATCCCAATCAGCCACACTGATCTCGAGGGGATCCTGGCAATGGGACACCAAAATTGGTTCATCAAAGGGATCAGGGCTGCATTCGAACCGAGTAAAGATCCAAAGTACCGGACTCAGAAGAGGGAAGGAGCAAGCGGACGAAGGATCAAGGACAGAGAACAACAGAGGACGACGAATGAGACAATGGAGTCCGAACGGTACCGGACTCCTTTCCAAACCACCAAACGGTACTGGTGGTGAAACCAGATTGCAGACGGTACTGCAATCAATAAATGTTGAAGGGTGTAATGGCTTTCAACAGGTGTCAAGTCAGTAAACAATACGGAACAGCAGTCCTGGAACGAGTATCCAAGGGCACCAGAGGCAGATCATCGTTTGGCAGAGCGCCCATCATCCCGAGCCACAGCACTGCCACGACGCTCAGCAATCTTGTAGACGATCCCAAAGCGCGGAAGACCACGGCTGTTCAAGGATGTTGCCTTTCTTCCGCTTGGCTCTTTCTTTGATCTTCTTCTTGATGTACTCAATGGTCGGCATTTCTTCAGCTCGTTCCTTCATGGCCAACTCCGGGTCACGTCGTGTGGATGAAATGGACCAAGGGCGACATGTAGGTCTGCTCGATCTAGTGGATGATGCGTTGGTGATCGGGATGGCTCAGGTACCAGCCGTAGCGGTAGTCGATGGGCGATCAAGGACAATCTTCCTGAGCCACTGCACCATTCCCAGATCGAAGTGAAAGATCGAGCCACGTCGCTTCTTCATCCATGACCGATGGCCTGGCATTTCTCGGAGTCACCGGGGCTTTGTTCGATTTGCTGTAGAACTCTTCGGGTACTGCCTTGTACATCTTCTGCAAGTACTTCAGCATTCCTTCAGGCAAGTGCCCAGGAAAGACATCGCCCTCATAGGTGTGCTCCATCTCGTCGTACTCCAGGTTGTAGTCATTGCCCAAGAGGACCTGGATCGGAGGTTCGTCATCAGCAACCTGCTTTTGGCCATCACAAAGTCCATCACTGGTTCCAGTCATAAGTCCAGGACTGGCTCCAGTGCAAAGTCCATTGGCCAGGTTTCTCTCCGCAGTGAACTGCAGTTTACCTTTGGTGGCATAATTACCAGATTGAGGTTGATCGTCGTGACTTGTGTCGTGTTGGGCATCGCTAGATCGAAGGTTGGTCTTGTCGTAGTGCTTGATGTCGTGTTGGGCATCATTGTCAGAGTGGTCGGATTGATCTCGATGGGAATTCCCAGACTGCTCCAGTGTTGTCGATTGGCAGGGTTGAAGTCCTTGCAGCATTGACTTGATTCGGGACTTCTCGGCATTGTTGAGCTCCACATCCTTCTGCTTGTTGTTGACTGGCAGGATATATTGTCCTGATTCCGTCAGCAAAAGTCGTAGAACAACAAGGTGTGCTTCAGGATGGTCAAGTCGCTCACCATTGGCCGAGCAGACCAGAATGCCATCTCCGTTGTCGAACCACTGCGTCAACACTGCTGATCTCATCTGTCGGAGAGATGTGTTGGGAAGCAAAGCAGGACAGGTTGATCCTTATCCACCAATCAAGTCTGCAGTGTAGCTTCCAGGAAGTTTACAATCTCGTCTGTCAGGCATGGAAAAAGGCAAACTGACTCGAGCAAGAGAGCTGTCACTTTGGCCAGAGATGCCTGTGACAGTTGTTGTACTTGGGCCCCATGCAGGAGACTTCCTCCTTGCGGTTCTTCAGCACCATTCCAGCCTCCAGCAACTCCTTCAAGGTGTCGGTGCCAATCAGCCCGCTAGCCGCTCCAGGATCCACAAGTAGTCCACAGATGCGCTCACCTCGCACCACGTGGTAGTTGTCGATGTGTTGTCAGTTTGGCATTCAGGGAAGTTCAGCTTCTTCACAGTCTGTTCTCCTTGATCTTCTGCAGGAGAATGCTCCTCAAACTTCAGCCGTAGTAGTCGCCAAAGCTTTGAGGAAGATCGTCAGACCAGAAGCTTCTCTTGCCGTACCCCTTGTAGGGATTTCCTTTTCCCTTGCCATAAGCCTTGTACTTGCCCTTGCCAAATCCTTTTCTCATGGGTCTTCCAAAGTTCTTGCCAAAGCCCTTGGACTTGCCGTATCCTTTGGACTGCGACTGACTGTTCAAAGGGCAGCTGTGAATGCTGTGACACTTCGAGCCGCATGTAGAGCAGCCCAAGCCCATGGAGCCAGTGCGAGACTTGCCCTTGCCCTTGTAGTAGCTCTCATCCATGTTGTTCGAAGGCTCTGCAGGGGTCTCCTCTTCGGCATCGGCTGGTTCCTCATGATATCCAGCCTCGTACCAAGGCTCTTGCCATTCACCTTGTTCACCGGTGTGGTCATCATCATAATAGTAGGCCTCGGCATCGCTGTGCCAACCTTCGTACCAGGTGTAGAGCTCGTCGTAGTCAGGGCCAGAGGGCCAATCACCATTTTCCATTCATGTTTCCATGAGCCTGTAACGGTGCTCCATGAGTCGTTGTCGTCGTAGTAGGTGTTCTCCTCGGCTGTGTCCTCATATAGAGGGTTGTCTGCTGGTCTGGATGTCGGTGGGCCATTCGAGGAAGCAAAGTGCGAAGCTCCTCAAACCTTCTCATGTCTCCATGAACTTGAAGGAGAAGATCATCGATTGACTTCTGGCCCAGGTACGTCTTCGCCACCTGGTTCACCTCCAGTCCAGCATGCGTCACAGCCTCTTCCAGGTTGAGCTCCCACTGCACACTCCACTCAGGGATTGGAAGACGACCTCGACGAAACTCAAAGAACACTTCCAACGCCTTTGTAGCTTGAAGTTGTTCAGCTTCTCCAAAGGCACTTCGTAGCGCATGTAGAAGGGGTTGAACTCCGCTGGGGATTGCAGCCTGTATCACGGCACCTGTCAGCGGGTCCAACACCTCCTCAACAGAAAGCCGCACCAATGCGCTGTTGCCGATGTCGATGTGGCCAGTGGGATCCAGCTGCGCTCGCCCTCGCAAGCGCCCGGCCAAGAAGGGGCCGACAGCCTCATCAGGACCGTCATATAGACGGTACCACATCTTCACCCTTTCCAAGAAGGATTTCAAAGGGTACTTCGGATTCCCAGGCTCCCAGCCCGGTGGCACATCTTTCCGATACTCATCCAACGGAATTTCCGGATGGGATGAGCCAGTCGCCATAGTATAGTTCTGGCCAAAGGTCTCTGCAACCAGGCTCACCTCCAAGTAGTTCTTGCGGCCTGCGCAGGGCCAGAAACTGCCAAGGCAGGGGAACACGGCCTGCTCAAGGCCAGCGCAGCAACCTGAGAAAGATCGGGTCTGCTCGGGACCCAGCACCGAAGTCGAAGAAGGTAGGGTCTGCACAGGACCCAGTACTGCAGCCAGCAAAGATTGGGCCAGCTCAAGACCCAGCGCTGCAGCCAGAGGTCCAAGGGGCTTGCGCAGAGCCGAAAACAAGCAGCCAGTGAGGTCCTTGTCCAGGAAGATCAAATCGGAGTGCAAGGCGTAGCGCCCCAGCAGCCACCAAACGCAGCAGCCAAAGCGCAAGATCGTATAGCGCACGTAGGTCGAAGACCAGGAGCTTGAAGATGAAGTTCACCAGCAGCTATTGCGTCAGCAAAGACAGGTCAGGGCGGATGGAACCTATTGGGGCTCCGCTACCAAATTGAACTTGGCAGCACTTTTAGCTATCTCGAGCAAAGTTGCGCCTACAGTATGTAGGGTGTTGAAACATGACCATGCCAATGACCAGAAATTTCCAGTCTCATATTCTACGTCCCATCAGTTTTGCCTGCAACACCAATGTCGCCCTCATTGAACTCAAGGCGCTGCTCAAAATTCAAACTCCTGGGCATTCAGGAATTTTGGCTGCTGACTTGAAGGCCTGGCACCATACTTACTATGTCAACTTCCCACAACGCACCCAGCATCAAGAGTTTCAACCGACCACTAAAATTTGCCAAAAAATTGACGAAATCATACGAAATGGTACTTCGGAGCTGAAAGGTCAGACTTTTGGCTTCCATGTCCAAAACTACATTAGTTAGATAAATAAATTCAATTAAATGAGATTCAGATTATATATATAGATGAGATTTGGTCAGATCAGATTACATAACATTAGATGAGATCAGATCAAATTATTCGATAACATTCGATAATTTAAGTTTAGATTAGATTAGATTTGATGAGGCTAGATCAGATAAGATAAGCTAAGATTGGTTTAGACATGTTTAGACTCAATAAGGTTCGATAAGATCAGATTAGATTCGATCAGATTAGATTAAACCCAGTGTTTCTGATGTATTTTTCAAGATCGAAAAATATGGCACAAGAGTTGACAAGAGTAGTTAGCGCTCAACCGTTGAATAAAAGAACATGCCAAAATCTACTGTAAAATGTTTTTTTTGGAAACCCACCTTCAACCAACGTCCCAAGATACACCTCTCAAAATTTCAAAATGCCATGCACTTTATAGGTTGCCAAAACGTTGGGACGTTCTTTGCGAAGAAGTATCAAGCAATGGGCACGGGTCAAGAGCATGGCAGCACCCAATTTGATCTCTCACCGTCCCCGTTCATGCTTATTAACAACTTCTGCCAAAAGAGCGCCCTAACATTTTGGCATATGTGTTTTATGTGTTCCCGGTCTTAGGCCATTGATAAACTATGACTGGATGTCTAAGTACCTCAAATGTACTTTTACTGCGGCTTAAAACCTATGGCTCAAGTTTTCTTATGATTTTGGGGTCCGGCTACTACTCGTGGATGAAAACCTAGGGGCGCTAGGTTATAACGGTATAACGTTTCTTAAGTTCAAATGTGTGCATCTGGCTAAATCCTGCGCCCAACCTATTGAAAAAATGTTGTCAAGAGGTGGCACTTGGACTGAAATCCCGTGGCTGCAAGGTTTATTTCAGGGTCCAGAATTGCTTGGGGAATTATGTTGTTTTCTGTTTTGGATTTTTGCGGATCGATTTTTCTGCCCGTTTCCTTGCTAGTTGCAGCATTTTGGAGTTGGAACCTTTCATTTTCCCTAGAACATTTGTAACATTTTGGAGCTGGAGCTGCCGTTTCAACAGTATTTGCAGCATTCTTGAATTCGAACCTTTCATTTTTGATGGAATTTGCAACATTTTGCCGCTCGCAGCGTTCATGTAACATAGTGGTTTCCAACTAGGGTTCATTTATAGGGTTAGTTTAGGGTTAGTTTAGGGTTCTGTCTGTCTGGTTGAAAGTTTTGAAAGGTTTTAGAGTTTTCGCTCGACGTTGTGCAACCGTTCGCAATGTCCGCAACCGTTCGCGTGAGGGCCGTATGGCCGTGCCTATGAAAAGTTCTGCAAAAGGGGTCACTTTTGGAGGTTTCCAGCGTCGCGTAGCTTCGTTTCGCGTGGCAGGCATGGCACTTCGTGACATTCAATACGTGTGTCGTACCGTATTTTGTGTGGCAGGCGCAATACTTTTGCGACGTTTTCAGAAGATGCGTTGCATTTTCCGGGGGCGCGCAACAGTTTGGAGATTATGATCGTCGTTTTGCGTCGCAGGCGCGGCACTTTAGACGTGTCTTGTAGCTCGTTTTTTGCGAATCGCATTGTCAGGGCTGCGTCAAACTGTGACAAGGTGCAAATTCCGTGGCAGGCGTGGCATTTTGTGAGATGCACTGAAAATTGCCGGAAGCCCCGCACGAAACATCGATTTTGAGGTAGCAAATTTTGAGGTTCATAAGAAAAATGGCAGGAAAACGTCGTTCTTGAAGCTACAAAGTGTGAAAATTGGACGAAGTCTTGCACGCAATGCTCGTTTTGATGCTCCAACATGTCTGGTCCCGAGTCTCTGGTTTTCCTCTGGCTTCGCCGTGTCTATGGGGGAAGCTGCAAAACCTATCCTTTTTGAAGGTGTCAAAGCAGGTTGTACAGTAATGTCGTTTTGCGTGCCAGGCAAGGCACTTCCTGACATTCTTACTTGTCTCGAAAATCATTTTGTGTGGCAGGCACAATAATTTGCGTTGTTTTCAGAAGATCAGTTGAATTCTTCGTGGCAAGCGCAACACTTTGGAGACCTCCATCGTCATTTTGTGTGGCAGGCGCGCCACTTCAGATGTGTTGCGTTGCCTGCTCTACACTCCACACTTTACACTTTACACTCCACACTTCGCACTCCACCTTTAAACTTTACACTTTACACTCCACGCTCTACACTCTACACCCCACACTCCACACTGACACTCCACGCTTTACACCTTACACCCCCCACTTTACACTTGACACTTTAGACTCCACACTCTACACTCAACACTCTACACACATCACTCCCCACTTTACACTTTACACTCCACACTTTACACTTTATTTACATACACTCCACACTTTACACTCCACACTCTACACTCCACACTTTACACTCCACACTTTACACTCCACACTCTACACTCCGCACTTTGCACTCCACACCTACCCTCCACACTTTGCACTCCACACCTACACTCCACACTCTACACACGACACTCCCCTCTTTACACTTTACACTCCACACTTTACACTTTACACTCCACACTTTACACTCCACACTCTACACTCCACACTTTACACTCCACGCTTTACACTCCACACTCTACACTGCACACTTTGCACTCCACACCTACACTCCACACTCTACACACGACACTCCCCTCTTTACACTTTACACTCCACACTTTACACTTTACACTCCGCACTTTACACTACACACTCTACACTCAACTCTTTACACTTTATGCTCCACACTCTACACTTTACACTCCACACTTTACACTTTACACTCCACACTCTACACTTCACACTCCGCACTCTACACTCCACACTCAACACATTACACTCCACTCCGCACTTCACGCTCTACAATCCACACTCCACACTCTACACTTTACACACTCTACACTTTACACTCAAAACTCTGCACTCCACACTCTACACTCCACACTTTACACTCCACACTCTACACTGTACACTTTACACTCCACACTTTCCACTCCACACTTTACACTCTACACATTACACCCCACACGTTGCACTCCACACTTTACACTCTACCCTTTACACTCCACACTCTACACTCTACACCCCACGCCTTACACTTTACACTTTACACTATACACTCTACACCCCACACTTTTTACACTTTACACTTTACACTCTGCACTCCACACTTTACACTCTACACATTACACCCCACACTTTGCATTCCACACTTTACACTCTACCCTTTACACTCCACACTCTACAATCCACACTCTACACTCTACACTTTACACTTTACACACTCTACACTCCACACTCCACACTTTACACTCCACACTCTACACTGTACACTTTACGCTTTACACTCCACACTTTACACTCCACACTTCACACTTTACACTCCACACTTTACACCCCACACTCTACACTCTACACGTTACACCCCACACTCCGCACTCCACATTCCACACTTTATACTCCACACTACACACTTTACACTCCACACTCTGCATTTTACACTTTACACTCCACACTTTACACTTTACACTCCACACTTTACACTTTACACTCCACACTTTACACTTTACCCTTTACACTCCACACTCCACACTCGACAATCCACACTCTACACTCTACACTTTACACTTTACACACTCTACACTCTACACTCCACACTTTACACTTGACACTCCACACTTTGCACTCCACACTTTACACTTTACCCTTTACACTCCACACTCCGCACTCTACAATCCACACTCTACACTCTACACTCTACACTTTACACACTCTACACTCTACACTTTACACTCCACACTCTGCACTCCACACTCTACACTCCACACTCCACACTTTACACTCCACACTCTACACTTTACACTTTACACTCCACACTTTACACTCCACACTCCACACTTTACACTCCACACTCCACACTCTACACTCCACACTTTGCACTCTACCCTCTTCCACATTGCACAGTCTACAGTGCACTGGCACTGGTTTGTTAAGAGGGGAAAAATGTACAAGACTGTTAAAATAACTTGCTTCACAAAAGTGTTCTATGTGGCTGCATTCGGGGCTGCATCTATCTTGTTTTTTAAAAGGGTTAGTTTAGGATCTTTTTAGGGTGTGTTTTAGGTTTTATTTAGGCTTGCTTTAAGATCTATTTAATTTATGGTTGGTTTAGGACCTATTTACGGTTGGTTTAAGGTTTGTTGAGGGTTGGTTTAGGGTCTATTTAGGCCTGGTCTAAAATCTATTTAGGGTTGGTTTACGGTTTATTTAGGCGTGGGTGAGCATCTATTTGGGGCTGGTTGAGGGTGTGTTTAGGGTTTATCCAGGCTTGGTTTAGGATCTATCTGGAGTTGGTGCAGGACCTATTCAGGATTGGTTTAAGGTGTGTTTAGTTTTGGTTTAAAATTTATTTAGGTCGGGTTTAAGATCTATTTTGGCTGGTGTAGGGTTTGTTTAGGATTAGTTTCAAAATGTTTCAAATTTATTTAGGTAGTGTTTGGGGTTTACTTAGAGTTGCTTTAGTGTTTCTTTGGTTGGTTTGGGGTGTATTTATGGTTGAGTTAGGGCTCATTTATATGATGCTTCTTAAGGATCATCTGCAGTATGAGACTCAGTATGAGAAACAAAAAAAGGGGAAAAGCATAGAAGCAGAAAAGCAGGTAAGCAGAGAAGCAGAAAAAACATGTAAGCAAAGAAGCAGGGAAAAGCACAAAGCAGAGAAGCTAGAGAAGCTGGAAAAGCAGAAAAGCAGGGAAAAGCAGGGGAAAGCAGAAAAGCGGAGAAGCAGAGAGGCAGCACAGTGGAGAAGCAGGGAAGCGAAGAAGCAGAGAAGCAGAAAAGCGGAGAAGCAGAAAAGCGGAGAAGCAGAGAAGCAAAGAACTACAGAAGCAGAGAAGCAGGGAAAAGCAGAAAAGCAAAAAGCAGAAAAGCAAAGAAGCAGGGAAACAGAAATCAAAAAACAAATGCACAAAACGGAAAAACAAATAATTCCCCCCAAAAAATAACCCTCCTTTATTTAAAAACAACATTAAAAAAGATGTAAAAAGGCACCAAAAAATAAAAAGCAAAAGCCTAGCCGGGCCTAGCCTTCCTGAGGCTAAATTTTGCTGAAACGACGCTCAGAAAAGAAAGTTTTACATCTGTTCAGATCGACGTGGCAGAAACACCGAAGTCACTTGACGAAAAGGCATAATATAATAAATCCTTTGATATCCTTTGTGCATCTTCGAGCCAAAGCCAAGTAATGTCAAGTCTCTCGAGGAACTTGCGCCATCGTTTTCTTGAGACTTGTTCCACTGTGGTGACGATGATACCCGCACGTGTCAGCCTTGCATACCCTTCCATATCTGCGTGGGCCAGCTTGTAGGCCATGTTCAACTGCGCAATCAAGAGGTTCAGCAGCACGACAGCAACCAGAATCATGAAGACAATCACAGCTATCCTTAGGGCCCAGGTCTTGCGCGCACAGGAAGCCAAATGCCCTGCAAGTTGCAAGCCGGCAGAAATATAAATATGCGTTGACCATTTGAAAACAGGCTTGCGTATATTGGGGAGGGGCACTGCGTTTCTTTCCAGCTTATTTTTGCGAATTCTCTGCATCCGAGCGTCTCCACCCAAACTGATTCCTTCATCATGATCTTGTAGTTCTCGGTTGGGTACATGCCTCAGCGTGTTTGACGTGCTCCCTAGCCAAAGCCCGACTGCAAGGTGCAAAATTTTGAAGGAAATCTGGATGAGAACTGGCAGAAAACGCACAACAAGACTTGGCCAAGAACTAATTTGGAAGCACAGGACCTCAAAACAGAGGCTGTGCGGGTAGGGGAAAGCATGGGGAAAGCCTCAAGATCTCAAGCCATGCTGCCCAGCGCGATGTCTAACAGAGTTTTCATGCCCTTGTCCACAGAGCTAAACTCGTATAGGCTGTGATGAAATGCAGTGATGGCGGTGGCAAAGGCAACGATCAGGAAAAGGAAGGCCATCAAAAAGAGACAAACCTCACAGGGCAAGGATGTTCGTTCAAAGAATCATAAGCGTACCATCAACTTCAAGCAATCATCTTCAATCATCTTCAATCATATTCAATCATCTTCAATCGTCTTCAATCGTCTTCAATCGTCTTCAATCATCTTCAATCATCTTCAATCATCTTCAGTCATCTTCAGTCATCTTCAGTCATCTTCAGTCGTCTGCAGTCATCTTCACTCATCTTCATCAATCATCGTCCATCATCTTCAATCATCGTCAGTTATCTTCATGAATCATCGTCCATCATCTTCTTCACTCACCAATCATCGTCAAACATCTTCAAAAATCTTCAATCATCTTCAGTCATCTTCATCAATCATCTTCAGTCATCGTCATGCATCTTCAATCAGCTTCAATCAGCTCCAATAAGCTTCCATCATCGTCAGTGATATTCAATCAGCATCAGCTTCAATCATCTTCAATAATCTTCAACCAGCATCAGCTTCAATCAGTTTCAATCAGCTTCAATCATTTTCAGTTATCTTCAATCATCTTCAACCAGCATCAGCTTCAATCAGCTTCAATCAGCATCTGCTTCAATAATCTTCAATCGTCTTGAATCAGCGTCGATCAGCTTCAATCATTTTCAGTCATCTTCAATCATCTTCAATCAGCATCATCTTCAATCATCGTCAATCAGCATCGGCTTCAATCATCTTCAATCAGCGTCAAACAGCTTCAATCATTTTCAGTCATGTTCAATCAGCATCAGCTTCAATCAGCTTCAATCAGCTTCAATCAGCTTCAATCAGCTTCAATCAGCTTCAATCATCTTCAATCATCGTCACATCGGCTTCAATCATCTTCAATGATCTTCAATCAGCATCAGCTTCAAGCAGCTTCAATCATCTTCAATCAGCATCGGCTTCAATCATCTTCAGTCATCTTCAATCAGCATCAGCTTCAATCAGCGTCAATCAGCTTCAATCATCTTCAGTCATCTTCAATCATCTTCAGTCAATCCTCAACGACCACTTCGCAGACTGAACGACATTGGAGAGTAACATGACACGCCCTGGCCTCGACCATCACACGACCACAAACAAGAACAAAGGCTGAGATTTTCATTGAGAAAATGCTCAAGTTCACGAGCAGAAGCCTTTGGCGGCACAGTTGAGATGCTGTGCGCTGTGTTCCCAGTGCGGGGTCACACGATTCAAATATGCCTTTATAAAACTTTATAATCCTCTGTGTATTGCAAGACAGCAGAGACCTGTAGCATGTGCAGCTGATTGCTGAATAGGACACAAAACTAGGCAACCCTCAGCACCGCTACGGCTAACGTTCACAAACGCCCTGGCTTTCGGTTCATGTCTCCCGATGGCATCCCAGAAGCCAGTACAACAGCATGGCAAAGCCAGAGAAGACAGCGTATGCCTCCTCATTCTTTAGGATCTTGGGAAAACATCTGCAAGCTTCTGCAACATTCTCCCACACACACACAAGAAACACAACAAAAAACAAAAGAAGGCAAAGTACTGTTTGTGAGGCTACGGTGCAATTTCTTGCGCCTTTCATCACGCATAGTTCAGAATAGAGAACGTCTATAATCTATGAGTTTGTTGCCGCATCTCAGTCAAGCCATATCAAGCCCATGTTCACCCATGTTCAAACTTGTTCCATTCTTTCCGAGGGCTCCTTTGGCCCGGGATCCATACAACTTGTGGCAAACAGAGCAAATTGTTCGGAATAGGCCAGGCAGTGAAGAATTGGCTCCTGCGAGCTACGCATGCTGAGCTCCCACAAAATTGCGTTATGCCAGATCCATACAGCTCTGCAGAATGGACATTAAACACACCAAACAGGTGACTCGAAAACAATCGCAAATCCCAAAAAATGGCAACGGCCAAACAGCCAACCATGCTCCTTTTGAGTACATTGAATCCTTCCAAGCCTTTCGGAATCACAAATCGAGGTCCTAATGCATAGCTGCGCGGCTCCTGGATCAACATCAACACCAATATCCACATGAGTAGCAGGCTTCCGCTGTCTTGGAAGTTGAAGAGGTACCTGCAGATGTGGGTTGTGATATGTTATCATGGAATATGCTGCGTTCATTTTACCATATTTTACCACTATCATCCATTATCAATCATTGTCATACTGTTTCCATTAGATACTATTTTGGTCCTAGCCCCTCGGGCTGATAGATCCCACACAATTCCACAAACCAAAGTCTTCGTTGTCACTGGCTCTTGTGCAAGAGATCAACGTATTTAATGCATTTATATATAACAAGGCACTGGGGCAACGGGACTTTGTAGGTCCGGACAATTGCTCCATTCTTGATGTCATCGTATAACAGCTTGATCTGGCCTCAGCTACACCCGTCAGCATACAGGCGAGGCCAGAAACTGCTTCGTGTTTTTCCTTTTGGGAGACGATCTGCGTTCAGCACGATGCTTTGATAATCCACAATGATTTATAACTTTCCATAACTTTCCGCATTCCTTTCTTTCTGGCAAGTCCAGGCCCAGGCAAGCCGCAGTACAGAATGCGGCACATACTCCCGAGGTAGATGAAAATCCGGCACGCGAATATGGCAGCACGCTCAGCCATGCTTGGCTCAACACCACCCAAGATTGCCTGTCCTGCTATGAAGACCTCAAGGAACCAGGCGAGTAACACAAGTGCCTTGAGCGGAACTCCGCTTTCTGCACAACTCCTGCTGTTGGCACATATAATATATAGTATATATATATATTAATATGTATATATATATACATTCCTTAAAAGTTGGGAAATAAGCTCACTAGGTCAAACGCTAGCCTCAGCTTCAGCAGATCCGCTCACTTTTTCGTCCACCTTTCTCTTGATGTCTTCCAACCTGTATCACATACAGGATAATGCATTGGGTATGCCTACAGATCTATCAGCCCTGCTGATGGCGGCATCCTGTTTCAGTCAGGTTAAGATATGCTGGAACCCATCCAGGTATCTATTCGCACCCATACTGGAACAGTTGAGACCCCATCTGCAGCGCAGACTTCAAGGTATAAGGGGACCCCACAGGGGACCTGATAACAGGGTGGGTCAAAATCCCTGATTTAGGGAGGGCAAGGAAAACAATGCTGCTATTTTGGATCAATGTTCACTTGAGCCAAAATTGGCATTTGTTTTACCTTATTAAACCAACCACCAAGGAATGACAACTGTCCACCCAAGGCTGCCAAACACTAGACAGCCATACATTCCTTAAAGGTTGGGAAATCAGCTCACTAGGTCAAACGCTAGCCTCAGCTTCAGCAGATCCGCTCACTTTTTCGTCCACCTTTCTCTTGATGTCTTCCAACCTGTATCACATACAGGATAATGCATTGGGTATGCCTACAGATCTATCAGCCCTGCTGATGGCGGCATTCTGTTTCAGTCAGGTTAATCGAAGGAAGTTTAGAAGTCAAACTTCCGACAATATGGACAGATGAAAAGCAGAGATGGAAAGGGTCAGAGAGAAGAGAAAGATTAGAAGAGAGAAGAGTAGAAGAGAAAGAGTCAGAAGAAAGAAGATGCAGATGCGCGAAAAGGTAGGAAAGTCGCCAAACACGGTGTTTTTCCCCACCTGCCAGGTGAGGGTTGTTAGATTTTATGTCAGTTGCCTCCTCCTGCCTCCTCCTGCCTCCTCCTGCCTCCTCCTGCCTCCTGCCTCGTCCTCCTCCTCCTCCTCTCCTCCTCTCCTCCTCGTCCTCCTTGTCATCCTTGTCGTCCTTGTCGTCCTCGTCGTCCTCGTCGTCCTCGTCGTCCTCGTCGCCCTCGTCCAACTGCGACCCGCGATCCACAGTGTTCTCTGCCGGACCTCAACCACGACCATCCACGCCCAGTGTTCCCTGCCGGACCTCAACCACGACCATCCACGCCCAGTGTCCCCTGCCGGACCTCAACCACGACCATCCACGCCCAGTGTTCCCTGCCGGACCTCAACCGCGAGTATCCCCGCCCAGTGTTCC